GTGTTTCATGTTTTCCACCTACAATATTAATTTAATAATTCATTTACACAAAAAATTATTTGATTGTTTTGATATTTTATAAAATATTATTTAGATTTTAAATTTAACAATATTAACTAAAGATAATAATAAATATATTTTCACAGTGAAATAAGTATGGACACTTTTATAAAAAGGATAGATAATTTACAATATAACAGGTAAAAATATGACAAAACCAGATTCATTATGACAAAACCGGTAAAATTTACTTGATATGTTAAAAGTATGGACACTTTTATAAAAATGATATATACTTACCGATAACCAAAGTTTACCGGTTACCAAATTTTTTAATAGTTTTTCATATTTTCTACCTAAAACATTATTAGTTGTCAACATAATAGGTACCGCTAAACCGAATTTATTAAATACATTTTAATGTATCCGGTAATGCTGTATATTAGCCGTATATTAACCCGCCTTTCCTGAGACATTCCCGGATTGTTTAACTAAAATTAAAAAATATCTAGAATTATAAAAAAGATTTACAAGTATAATTATAAACGTAAACATAAACTAAATAATAATTAGTACATTTTCATAGGTCACACAAGGACAAAAAAAGTTTAAAAAAACCTAATCAATGCTCGAACAAAATAAAGATACGAACAAATCTGACTGCATCGGTAAACGAACCATAAAAGGGGATGAAGCTACTAAAAACCATCGACAAATTGTAAATTAGAGTCAATTGACGTGAGAAAACTATCCAAGAATGCAAAACGCGTATCCAAATCAATCTGAGGGTTCAAAGTAGAAAAGATTGGCATGATAACAAATAAGTGACATATTGATCAGTCGTAGCAATGTCAAATCCAACCCTAAGAAAAAAGATAAACCAAAACAACAATAAAAAATCGTAAACTACCAAAAGACAAAGAAAAATACATCACAAAGACAGAAAAACGTACCACAAAGACATATATAAATGTGTTATAAAAGCAGATAATTCTTATTAAAAATATAAAAAAGAAAGAAAAAAGAAAACCGACAACTACATCAAAATTGATGTCGTCACCAATTAAACAAAATTAAAGAAGAAAAAGTTAGATTAATCAATAAAATTAATACAGGTAACATGTTATAAAGAAGAAAAGAAAGAAAGAAAGGGAGGAACAAAACAGCTAAGGTTTTTAAACTTTATATTGTAGATATTTAAATAAACAATTGTAGATATTTAAATAAACAATTATATATTTCCAGACATTTGTCAATTTAAAATAGAAGTACCTAAAACATATGAATAAATCTTAAAAGTATACCTAAATTTTGGTTTCGATGTAACTGAGTTTCATATACAATTATTCAAAAACAAACCATATACAATTAATTTCATAAATTTATCTGTGGTTAATTATAAATTGATGATGTTGAATTTTAATAAATTAAAACTAAATGAAAAAATTGAAAGTTGTTTTTATCACCGAGATCGTTGGTTTGCGCCTAAGATTTAATTACATTGTTTATGTAAATAATTTTAAACTTTAAAGAAAATTTTAGTTATTTAACTATTTTCCCATAACACGTTAAAATTATTTCCACATTGTTAGTTTGAGTTTATAAATTTTACCAAATAAATAAACTAAATGGAGTCTCAAATAAATTATCCCTATGTCATGTACAAAAGGCTTGAAATATTTTGTAATTTATGTATGTAAAATAATAGATTCTTTCTAATTCTTATTATAAATAATATGCTTTATATAAAAAATAGCTAACGACTATCCCAAGAGAGAGTTAATAAAAAGATTATACTAGAAATTTGTAAAGATATTTTACGTTTATAATTTTAACTTGAATCCTAGATTTAAAATACATGTGACTTCAAAAATAGTGGAAAAGATCATCTATTGGGACTTGGAAGTGCTACTTTACGCATCGATAACGTAAAAATGAAAACATTATTTTCTTAAAATCAGTGCTCGAAAGAAGAAGAAAAATCAGTTTTATGATAAGGAGGAGTCGAGTCGAGTTTGAGCATTGTGAAGCTCGACTTGATTTTAAAAGTTTGAAGTTGAACTCGATTAGACTCGAAATTTTGTGAGCTTAAAATTTTTATTCTTGGCTCAAAATAAAAAATTAAAGCTAGAATCGAGCTCGAAAGTTTGTGACTTTAAATTTTTTAAGCTTGAAGCGAAATCAAAAATTGAAGTTCGACTTGAGCTTGAAAAAGTTTAAACTCGAGCTCGGTTCAAATTCGAACCTAAACTTTAAGTAGATGAAAACCTTATATTATATTTTAAAAATAAAACAACATATGAATGTTAATATTATTAATTGTTACGAATTTGAGATCGAAAAAATAATCAAAGTTATATCAACATAAAATAAGACATAAACAAGATGCAATATTTAACGTGGTTCGATATTACCTATCATTACGGGTAAGATGAATAATAATTCATTACAAACGTAAAGAATACAAAGAGTACAAATACATGATACCACATGTATCCTAACACCTGGTATATATATCAAAACTTGATATATCCTACAATACTCTTTCAACATCCCTACAAAATTATCTCTACAATGTAAACCCAAAAATTGCATAGAACCCTAAAAGAATTATATATCTCCAAAATAATTACCTCTTCCATAATCATAAAAACTAAAACACAATCTCTATTTATATACTTGGTTACCAATAACTTGTATTGATCTTACCTAAAATAAATATTTATTTTATTAAATAAATCTACCATGTAATCTTTAACTACTAAAATAATCAAAGTGATATCAACATAAAATAAGACATAAACAAGATGCAATATTTAACGTGGTTCGATATTACCTATCTTTACGGGTAAGATGAATAATAATTCATTACAAACATAAAGAATACAAAGAGTACAAATACATGATACCACATGTATCCTAACACCTGGTATATATATCAAAACTTGATATATCCTACAATACTCTTTCAACATCCCTACAAAATTATCTCTACAATGTAAACCCAAAAATTGCATAGAACCCTAAAAGAATTATATATCTCCAAAATAATTACCTCTTCCATAATCATAAAAACTAAAACACAATCTCTATTTATATACTTGGTTACCAATAACTTGTATTGATCTTACCTAAAATAAATATTTATTTTATTAAATAAATCTACCATGTAATCTTTAACTACTAAAATTACAATAAAACCCAACTTAATTATCAATTATAATTTGAGTCAAAATATAATAAATCTATCTTAACCTAAATTTAAAAAAAAATTGGTCTTCAAGTCTTCCACAACTTCAATCTTTACGTAAGCAGCATATTAGTTTAAACACCACCGCCAAGTCTTCAACAACTTCAATTCTTATGCCATATTTATTGAATTATCCCTAGAACAATTGAGAACTACTCCTATGTAACTAAACACTCATTACAACAAACTCTTATTGCATGTCTTCAAAATCGCTAATAAAATCCACATCAACAAATTTTTTTAAAAACTTCACATCTCGAACCATAGTTTTGATATCACTTGTTAAGAATTTGAGAGCAGAAAAATAACCAAAGCGATATCAATATAAAGTAAGACATACACAAGAGACAATATTTAATGTGGTTCGACATTGTCTACCTCCACGAACGAAGATGAACAATAACCCACTATAAATATAAAGAACACTAAAAGTACAAATACATGATATCACATGTATCCCAACACCTTGTGTATATACCAAAACCCGATATGTCCCAAAACATTCTTCCAACATCCCTAAATGTTAAAACATAATCTCTATTTGTAAAGTCAAATATTTGCTTACCAATAATTCTTATGGAATAAAAATTCTTAACTAAAATAAATGTTTATTTTATTAAATAAACATAATTATCAAATAATACTTAACCATTAGAATTATAATAAAATTCAACTTAATTATAAGTTATAATTTGGGTGAAAATATAACTTTGGTAATTTAATTGATAATTTTAAAACTTTAATTTATTATTTTTACTTGTTAAAAACTCAATTCGAGTCCATTCAATCTGAATATTGATTAAATTTTAATTAGATCAAACTTGAATAACTCACTATCTACCTTGTGCTGTGTCTAACCCTAATAATAAGGTGTGTTTCCCGATGGAAAAATACGTTAGAGTAAAACAAAAGGCTTAAACTAAAAAATTTACTTAAACTATACCATTTTTTTTCTTTAAGTGCCTAAACTATTTTTTGATCAAAATAAATCTTTAAGTATCTTAATTTTTTTGGTTAATATAAGTCCCTAAACTATACTTATTTTTTGCTTTAGGCCTTTAAAATATTTTTCTGATAAAAAATAAGTACTTAATTTTATGTGACGTATTGATATCTTATTGGTTAAAAAATAATTTTCTAATTAAAAAAAATTTAGGATTTAAAATAATTAAATATAATAGTTTAAGTATCTCACTTGACAAAAAATAATTTAAGTACCCAAAAAACATAGTTTAGATATTTATTTGGGTAAACTACATAGTTAGTACCTAAACTATCACTTTTATTTTAATTTAGTATCTAAACTTTTAATTTTTTTCAAAATCATACCTAAATTTATTTTTTATTTCATTTTAGTATCAGACATTAAAAATTTAGGTACTAAAATGAAACAAAAAGTTAAAAATGAGGTACTAAAATGAAATAAAAAGTAAATGTTAGGTATGATTTTGAAAAAATTGAAAGTTTATATACTAAAACAAGCAAAAGTAAGACTTTAGGTACTAAATATGTAGTTTATCCTACTTATTTTTCACTTTTAAAAAAAGGAAGAAAGAAAGATAGAGCGTTTGAAATGTGAACAGTTGCCTCTGAAACGCAACTAACCCCAACGCGTGTATAATCAGTTAATCACAGCTCAGATTCGCTTTGTATTACAATAATATTATTTCTGTCGTTACGTATTAAATCCTGGAAAATGATGCAAAAGTTGAAAACAATGGTGGAAATTTCCATATGAACGACTATGTATTTTCCCCCCTTTTTGAATGACGCTTTATTACCATATGGAAATTACCTTTCATGCACTATAAAACAAATGGTAAGGCTAGTCTGCAGTTCTACTACACAAACCTAAAAACAAAGCAGAGAGAGAGTGATAATGGCAACCCTCAAAGTTCCAGCTCATGTTCCTGCTCCTTCCGAGGATGCAGAGCAGCTTCGTAAAGCTTTTGAAGGTTTTTCATTAGATCTATCCTTTCTAAACAGAATCATTAATGAATCTCTGTTACCCTTCTTTTCCTTTTCTTTTTAGAAGTAAAGATGCCCCTTTTTTCCCCTGTTGATTTGTTGTTGTTGACTTAATGAATTGATCATGGTAGTGCACTATTTTGGATCATGGGTTTTATGTATTTTGATTTTTTATTGATCTGATCTGTTCTGGCTTCATGTTCTTTTTTCATCTGTATTTTGCGTTATGATCTTTGGAGTTAGCTGATGTGATTTGATAAGACTAAAGTTTTCTTTTTGAAAAAAAAGAGAAAATTGTGAGATTTGTCTAAGTGAACTAAGTGAGAAATTGATGGTGATGAGGTTCAACTGGAAATGGTTTCGTTCACTGAACACTGATCATGTATTTCTGATCTGATGATACTTTGATTGAACATTGATGATCACTGTGATTCTTGAAACATTTGTGGAAGAATTTTTTGCTTAATTTGAAGCAAGGCTAAAAGGGTACTTGGACCTTCGATTATATACCTAGTTGCATCAGATTTTACCTTTACAAAGTATTTGATCTTTTGAATGTATCTGCCATCTGTATGCCTATCTTTTCTCAACCAGCATTTGCGGGTATGGGTTTTGGAAATTGGTTTACACCAATTAATATTTGCTTGTGTTTGATGATCTATGGCAGGCTGGGGTACTAATGAGCAATTGATCATCGACATATTGGCTCACAGAAATGCCGAACAGCGAAATTTGATCCGAAAAACTTACCATGAAGCTTATGGGAAAGACCTCCTTAAGTCTTTGGACGAGGAACTTACAAGTGACTTTGAGGTCAGATTTTAATACCCCTTTTCCTTAATCAACTTGATGTTTGGAAGCCATTATGTGTTTTTAACTTCGTTTTTTTTTTTCTTTCGAAACTCGATAGCGAGCAGTGGTGCTGTTTACATTGGACCCTGCAGAACGTGATTCATATCTGGCTAATGAATTTACCAAGAGATTAACATCAAGCAATTGGGTTATCATGGAAATAGCATGCACTAGGTCTTCACATGAACTGTTCAATGTGAGGAAGGCGTATCACGCTCGCTATAAGAAATCCCTTGAAGAAGATGTTGCACACCATACCAAGGGAGATTACCGCAAGGTTCGGTCTTGAACTTTCATTGCCATCTGTGCCATTCCGATGTTTTTTTACCTTTGTTTCCTTCGTGTGTTAATCGATTACTTGCTTGTCGCAGCTTTTAGTCCCACTCGTTAGTGCATTTCGATATGAGGGAGAGGAGGTGAACTTGACATTGGCAAAGTCGGAGGCAAAGATACTTCGCGATAAGATCTCAGACAAGGAATACAGTGACGAGGAAGTCATCAGAATTGTAACAACAAGGAGTAAGGCACAGCTAAATGCGACCCTGAATCACTACAATAATGCCTTTGGGAATGCTATCAACAAGGTTCTTCTAAACCTTCATGAAAGTTCAAACATATGCTATGTTGTAATTCAAACTGATAATGAAGTACTGGTTTGCAGGACTTGAAGGCCGACGCCGACGATGAATTCCTCAAACTGCTGAGAGCAGCAATTAAGTGCCTGACTGTCCCCGAGAAATATTTCGAGAAGGTTCTACGACAAGCCATCAACAAGATGGGAACAGATGAATGGGCACTAACTAGAGTTGTGACGACTAGAGCCGAGGTAGACATGGTACGTATTAAGGAGGAATATCAGCGAAGGAACAGTGTGACTTTTGAAAAGGCGATTGCCGGTGATGCTTCCGGAGACTACGAGAAAATGCTTCTTGCCTTGATTGGAGCTGGAGATGTCTGACCTGAGCTGAGCTGCTTTTCTATATTCAGTACTTGGTAATAATAATGTATTTAGTATGGACCTTGAGGTGTGAGACTTATGTTTTATTGTTTTTGTCCTTCAGTGTCTGAACATGGCTTGAGTTTGGTGTTTTTATCAAGTGTTTTTGCGGTCACAACATGTCAGTTGCACAATAACAATATATTTAATGATTAAATAAATTATGTTTTTAATATCATTTAACTTTGAAGTATGGGTTCATATGTTATAATTTTTTTTATATGTTGCTACATAATTTAATGGTAAAAAAATTCAAATGTTCATGTTATAGGATAGTAAGATAATTTTAGATTTATTCGATAACATGAAAATTAGTTTTTTTATTTGATGTTTGTCAAATTATGTAATGTGAAAAGATCACAAATCTTAAACTATTCTACCAACTGTTCATAATCTTCTAATAATTTAGGGTAATCTATATATATATTCGCTTAACAATCATTTTAGTTTTGTTTTAGGTATCCAACTATTTTTTCAAGATAATATCTAATGTTTAGTTTTAGTTTTATTTTAATCAGTTACCGTTAAAAAATTAATGAGAATATTGACATATCACTATAAGATAATATCGTATCATCATTATAAAAATAAAAAAGTATCACATAAGTAGTTCTATTTATTTTTTTAATAGCAGATAATCAAAAGGCACCAAAACGTGACGTTCAAGTTAGGTATGATTTTTGAAAAAGAAATAATTGAGTGTCCGAAACAAAATAAAAGTGATAGTTAACTGACTAAATATGTAGTTTATCAAATAATTTACCTGCAAAATGGAACAGATACCTGCAGGTGCAACAGAGAATGCAATGCAAAGGTAGTGGGGCCTTCGGCTCGGGATAGGGTTGTCTTTGTAGTTTTTTATATTTTTTTGTTGTAAATATTAAATAATAATAATATCGGCCCAACAAAGATCCAAAGCAAAATAAAAGACGAAAGAAATTTAATCCAAAGGCTCAAAGCCACCTTTGCAATAATAATCTGATAGGCCCAGATAAAATATGGTACATCAAATTTGGTTCCAATAACTTTTTGCCTGCATTTGGATTTTTTTTTTAAATTTCAATAATGCATTTGGTTTTATTTATTTATTGATAGCAGTGTTGAGTGTTTATATTGTAGAGTAAATGTTAGTAGTTGATAATATAAAATGGAGAGATTGGTGACTAGCGGGACCCATGATAATCGGTGAGGATAACAACTGATTTTTGTTATCAATGAAACCCAAGATAGGAAAGTAATTGGTTGGTTATTAGAGACAAGATAAGTGTGACGTGAAGTCTATATATAGAGTGTAAGTGTAAAAGCTTGAGGCATGTAGCCTTTAATTAAAATTGTGCAATTTAAAAAATCGTTAAAGTTTGCATGGTATCATAGTCAGGTTTTGATTATAGGACTTGTGGCATAGCCCACCAAAGTTTACATGTTCAATTCAATGTTGATATGAAAGCCACTAAGAGTGATTGGGGTGGGGAGTATGACAAACATCATAATTGTCAAATAATTAATCTTTTTTTTGAAATAATTATGCTAAAAACGTAGTATAGAGAAGAAGGTGTCACTCTACAGGGATTCAAAAATTCCTAATATCAATCTGAATTAATCTTTAACTAAAAAATATGTAAAACAAGAAAATTAAAAATAAGAGGTTTTAAAATAATCAAGTAAACTAAATAAATAAATAAATAAAATAAAACTAAGGTGCAAGAAAAAAAATAAGAAAAGTAAATTGTAAAAAAATAATAAAGATGAGAGATAACCTCTAGCTTCGTTTCGCCTTAATCCATCTCGATCACTGAAATAGATTTTACTTCGAATACTTTCCGGTTACAATATATAAAGTCCAACCCTTATAACTTGATATTCTCTCTTATGAATTGATTTCTAAGTCAATCCATGAAAATTAACCCTTATTTGGGTTAATATTGGCTATCTATATTAACGCAATGCTGGTTTGGAATCGGAAAAGCTCGTGCTCGGATTATGGTGTCTCAATGAGAATCGAACTCGATCTTGATTTCCCTTAGCGAACCACCGCTAAGTTTGTTCTTAGGAAATTGAATTTGTTACAAGCTGACTCTCCTCCCCCACTATAGATCACAGCGTTGATCAAGCTAATGTATACACTTTGGATTGAAGACATTAAGATATTTGAAGGAAGGTCGATTGCCTCCCATTGTCTGTCGAAAATCAAGAAAGAAATATGAAGATATGAAACATTTTTGCAATTCTTAAGAGAATGCATCGAGTCTTCACTTAGCTATCAGCTAAAGAAAAATTAGCCAAGCATGGTAGAGATCATGCTTGGCATGTAAAAACAAAGAAGATGAGGAAGAAAAATAATTTGATTAAACTGAAAATCTAAAAACAAAAGAAAAGCTAGAACCAGTTCTATATTGAATTCTAAACATGTACATCTCTCAAGCTTCACCCCTATGGGGTATTTATAGTTTTGAGTTAACCTAATGAAAATAAAATACTAACTTTTAAAATATTCAAACTCTTAATTCCTAACAAACTAAAAATCTTAATTAATAAATATTAAATATTCTAATAACAGTGAACTAAAATTCTATGCAAAATAAATTCCTAATAAAATAAATAATAAAATCTAAGATATTTGAATTTAATTACAACTTTTAATTCCTAAAGAATTATGATTCACTTTGCTTTCCTCTTTTGATCTTGTTACTTGGATTATTTAATCAAAGTTTGTGCTTGGATCGATCTTTGAATCTGAGTTGGCGCTAACTTCTCCCAAATAAATAGGAAAATATATTTAATTTGACTTTTAATTATTATTTATTGGAAAATAGAGTCATGCACAGATTCGAACATAAATAACCCAAATTAGCACTATAAAAGAAAGTAACACAGAATAATTAATAACAAAATATTAACCAAATAAAACACTTATTAGAGTATTGGACGTTGTCGAAAGTGCTCCATGATAGTGGTATGGTTCATCGGGTTACTTGTCTGCATACAACATAACAAAATAGGGTTGTTGAGCGCAAACATCGACATGTCATTAACATGGCTCTCACCTTGTTAGCACAAGCTTTGTTGCATTTGAAGTATTGGTCATATGCGGTGGTCTCGCTGGTTCACTAAATTAATCGTATTCTGACTAAAATTCTCCATGGTATGTCTCCGTATGAGAAATTATTTGGTAACTGTAACACTCTAAACCCGATTGGGCCTAAAGTGCCACATTGGGCTGCCGAGGCAACCCCTAATTTTCAAAATATGTTTATTTTCTTTTCAAACGTACTAAATGGTATTATAATAAAACATAAATAACTGATATATAAACATTTTACAAAATCAGAGCTCTGTGACATATAATTTAAAACAAAATAATACATCTTGAAGTTTACAACTCAAATACATGAGTAATGTTCTAGGAATACACATGCCCACTAAAGATACAGTACGATACTCTGTCGGAGATGCTAGAAGTCCTGCTACAATGGAGCTCCAGTAACTGCCCAAGCTAATGACTTGCTAACGGAAAACATCCGAAGGCTGAGCTTATAAAGCCTAGTAGTATAATCGCTAATCTAGAGCAACATAAGAATTTCATAAACATAGAAATGTTGAGACGTGATACTAAGCAGTAGGTACATTTATGACCTAGATCAAGTGCTACCTACCTAAGGCTTTACTACTCTATCACTGAAGTAGGGGTCTCACGCTTCTCTTAATCCTCTGCTAAGAGCCTCTCCATGAGTACACCTCTAAAGCATTTCTAACCCTAACGACTAAGCATGCTATACATTATTTAAATGAAAAATTGTCATACTGTGCATTATCTGAATGCAAATCTGACTAGTATCTGGTCTCATATAACTCTTAGACACTAGTAACTGAGGGAACCCAGGTGTCACATAACATCGGTGTAATTCCTATAAAACATACTGAATGATCTCATGGTCCTCACATAGCCATCAAGTAGATCATTGAGGGGAACACGGTGTCACGTAGTATCGGTACAATTCCCACACAAACTGAAGCATTGACTTGGTCTCACATAGCCCTCAAGCCAATCTTTAACATATCTGACATACTGAAATGATGGGACTACACATGCATAACAAACACAAACATACATGCGAAAGGTCTAGTGGTGTGGTCGGAGGAATTTAAGTGCATCTCTAAGCAATACCCCAACCTACCTTGAATACGAAACATCGTAAGGGTAAGAACGAAATTTACATGCATCGAAAGCTTACGCAACTAAATATATCAAACATAACTACCCATGCATATCTAAGGCCTAAAGGCCACACAACACTGATATCGCCAACCCACTCCTACCGAATGTTCGGGTCTCGCACCCTAGTTAGCCCTTGAAGCGCCTCGCGCACTGACAATGCCCCACTAGGGCAACTAAGGTAACATGGGTACATCTTAACATGACTGGACTTACTAAAGTGAAGTCAATGTCAAACTGACTATTATCTCGCTCGTTCTTTCATTTAGAACGCTATGCGAAAGCTTACTTATTATTGGTGAAATTGGCTCAGGTTAATTATGAGTAGCGATACTCTATTCGGACTTATCATAATTCCCTTCAAAACCTTTTGAACTGAAAATGATGATTCACTCTTCCTGAGTTTATTGACATTCTTGAAGCTCATGCTTTTCGTTATTAGCGAATTTGACATATTCATAATACCACTTATCAGATGTCTCACGTAACGATCCTTGGTCCCCCAACTATTCGTATGTATCATCGATCGAAGATACTTCGGCGTATTTTACATAATATGGTTACATCTGTTGTAACCCACTCCTATGAGTGTTTCTATGTATATTTTGTCATTTATGTCCCCCACGGACTAAGTTCCACCATTACGAATCATCCTTAACTCTTACTAGCATAGATTAACTTATTCACTTAGGAAAATAAGGGTATTTCAGTAATTTTACATGGTACACAACTTTTCTATCATGTTATTCGTATACTACACCACCCTCTTGCAAGCATGTCCTTCGCAACAGTCCATCATTCACGAATATTTGATATGCACTCTTTTGAGGGTATTTTTAAAGTTTCTCACTCATTAAGGGTATTTTGGTAATTTAAACCATCTAGGGGGCATTTTGGTCATTTCATAATTTAGGACCCCTCCCTAAACTTACTTGTACATTTTATTGCAATCTATAGATATTCAG